TTTAGTAATTGCTACTATTTCCAAGCTTGCAGCTTCCATTTCATGTCATTACGGAACAGGTAACCACAATCATTCCGACTCGATGCTTCAAAGACATTGATACTGCAGCATTCGATCTTCCCAGTAGCCCTTCTACACATATTCTCAGACTGGAGAATGCAAAGCATGTCTGTCTATTGTGCGTTTTTGCTGTGCAGCGCTACAGCGCTGCTATAGCCAGCAAAAACGCATAATGTCGAGAGTCGTCTGTGTTTGTGTGTGTGCGTACGGACATGTGTGTGCATGTGTGTGTGTGTGTGTATGTGTGTTCGGAAGCGATTGCATTTATCACCCACTTTCATCTCATCAACCAAGAAACTGGGGGCTAAAATTTCGGGTACATGTTCCTACCCCGTATGTCACCCTCCCGCTTTAAGATCTTCCCCCACACGCGCCTAGACCCTGCATACGCCCCCTCCCAGAAAAATGCAAACTTATTTGGTGGAAAACGATTTCGCGAACCAGACAAGGTACAAAGCTGAAACTTTGCAGGGATATTCTCTGTGCGTGTGAGCTACAGATTTCAAATTCATCTGTCGCGTATGCCAAGGTTTGCAATTTAATGCTGTACCGAAGACTTAAGGCACTTCAAAGATATTTGTAGCGAAATGGCTACACTTGCCGGATAAGGTGCGAGGGTGAAACTTCAATGGGATATTCTACTTTCAAGCGCGGTCTTAATTCTGCTTGGAAGTAAGATTCCCTGCAGGTGGGCCCGAGAAATCCCAACTTTACCAAAAAATCAGAAATGAGTGCGTTTTGCAGCGAACGTCCGATTTCATCCAAATATGTACATGAACATTCAGTTCATTTGCATACTTGGAGTTTTTGACAAACGACCGCTCGAGCAAAACTTTCACTTTTAAGTGAACAGGAAATTTGCATTTTTCATTTTTTTTTTTTCAAAAAACGAGCATTTACCGGAAAAACGACCGGGCTTCTTGCAAAAAACTGATAATCATGTACCTGGAGGTCCCTGCAGCCCTATAATTCAACACCTTCATCCCAACTGACATCCTTTCCCCTGCATGGTGGAAAGGGCCGAAACTCTGCCAATATGAGTCCAAGTGTTAGGCTACAGTGCAGCGATCATCCCCGTTATTAGCAACCTGCGAGTTTAGTGCAAAACGCATGACTGCGCCGCAAGTCTGGTGCGTTCCAGCCTGGGTTTTTATTTTGGCCAAAACAGTCATAACTGTCAACTTGGTTCTAGTCAATATTTGCGATTTAGCAGCGGGCGTATCGACACTTTACAGCTGCAATCTGGCCTCGGGCATATTGACACTTCACGTCACCCTCTCTTTCGATGCGTTAATTTTCAAACCTATTTGCGTGTTTTCCTGTGTTAATTCTCTGAATCATGCAGTCGTCTCGAGACACCACTGGAAATGAAAAACTGCCACTTACCATTCATTATTGGCCTAAATCGTTAAATTTCAGACCATCTTTTCAACTCAGTTGGGGAAATACCGTTTCGAGAAAAACCTTATTGAGTCTGGCCGATGTTCTTCTCAACTGATATAGTTTACAATGTGAAAAGTACTGTCTGTGGATTAGCCTACGTTTATCCCTTTAATAATTTCCATGTGGCCTCTACTAACCCACGCATAAATAAGAGCTACTCAACATAACATTTGGTTCGATCTTTAGGATTTTCCCAGTTGCAGCACAGTCCCGAAAGAGACAATTCTCCCATTCAGATGTTTTCAACATACATACAGAATTTTTATATTTGGAATTTTTTTTTATAACTGCCGCGCTAAACATTTTCAAATGTTCATTTTTAAAGAATTCGAATGCAGTAGAGGAAAGAAAAGAATAAAAGAAGTTGGCCGAAACATCGCAGACCTCTGCTTTTTGACATTTTGTGCAGCGTAGCCCAATCGTAAACTTAACAGTAGAACATGGTAAAAATCTAAAACAAAATAATACACTGCTTCATTTGTAACAATA